CACATGAGATACCCCCTGGTACCTTTTTCATAGGCTTTTTTGAGTTTGGGCAAGGACACAGGGGCCCCATGATCCTCTATTGCCTGGGGGCCCATGAGTTGTGTCAGTCTGCTTTTGGTACCTCCAATTTTGTTGAGAAAAAAAAAAAGCATTCTCCTCTGGGTGATCTATGTACATTGCAGGGATTTAACAAACTTTGTTGTAGATTTCTACCTTTTTTTATTCTAAAGAAATAACGGTTTGTCTGTGTCCATGTGCAAAAGTGAATTTTTGAATGTGAATTTTATAACTATCAATCAGCTGCTGTACTAATGGTTCTAATGAGGAAATTGAGAAGGTCTGGATCCCTCACGAGTATCTCACGAAATATGATATTTTTGTTGCAGGGGATGCCTAAAATCTGGCATGTATCCAATCACACTAGCAGAAAATGACACATTTTCAGAGGGGTGTTCTGTACACCATCTGTTGTACAGAACACCTCCAGGTTTCCATATTGCATTGCTTTTGAACCTACAGTAAATTACAGTGCTGTAGATTGAAAAATGAAAGCTCTTTTTTTTTTTTTTGTTTACAAACGATTTTATTGAGTATAAGTAGACAATAAAATAACCAGCACATTTTCAAATATTAACAGCAAAAACAAGGCACTTTGGAAAAGTACAATTCAGAAAAAGATATCATAATAATGAAGAGAAGAAACAGAAGAAAGTAGATTGCAAGTACATGAAATACGTCAATGATAAAGGAAATTGAATAATACGTCTGTCAACAGCATCTGTCAGTCATTGTTCACTGAAAACGTTATCAGTCATGCAATAAATGTCTATAATCCCTCCATGACTCCCATTTTTTTATCAAATAAGTGCATCTTATCCAGCAAAGTACAATGAATGCGTTCCATGAGCATTACAGCATCAATTCTGTGCAGGATGGAGGCCAAAGGTACAGCATTGGATCTCCAGTGTAAGGCAATAGACCATAAAGTGGCAATACAAATAGTATGTATCAATCTCATAATGGCATCAGGGACCCCTGGGATATGAGCCCCCAATAGGCAAGTCTGAATAGATAAGCATACTGGGGTACCCGCCAGTGAGGTGGCCACCTCGGATATCCTGCGCCAAATCAAAGATATGGACGGGCAATCCCAAAATATATGCACCAAAGTGCCTGTAAAACCACAGCCTCGAAAACATAGAGGGGACATTTGTGGGTACAATCTATGTAGTCTTGATGGGGTATAATACCATCTAGTTAAAACCTTAAGGGCCGTTTCACGAACCGAAAGAGATCGAGAGCTTTTACAGATATTGTCCACCATGGAATCCCAATCCTCATCCGAAAAAAGTGGTACCACTATCCTCCTCCCACCTCTGTCGGTACAACGGAGGCGTATGAAAAGACAAAGTAAAGATTGGTGATAAAAATTGGAAATAAGACCCCTACCCCTGGGGAGAGTCACGGCTGGTACGTTCAAAAAAGGAAACCGGAGAAGACGGTGTAAGGCCAGAATGTGATTCAAAAAACTGTCTAATCTGTCGGTAACGATGGTACTCGCGAAGGGGAATATCAAAAAGCGCGCGTAGCATATCAAAGGTAATGTAAGATCCTCCTCTTGAAAATCAGATAATCTGATAAGAGATTGATCATACCACCAACGAAACAGTTGAGGAGAAGAAAAAAGCTGGTGTAAAAGTTGGATCACCAAAAAAATGAAATACCGGGGGGAATAGGAGAGACCAAATTTAATTTAAATTTGTATGTGGACCAAAGTGTCATTGAATGGGTCACTATGGAGTTATAAAAGGTAAGTGAACGTGGAGAGACCCTGGACCACAAGATGCTCGGTAAGTAGAATGGGCGTATGGACTGAGATTCAAATTTGACCCATGGGATCTGAGAGTTAATAGTTGCCCACTGTGATAGCTGCGCAAAACGAGCCGAAAGATAATATATCCAAAATTGGGGAAAGCTCTTTTTTTAATAAAAATTCAATTACAATATGTCTGGAGTCACAATTATATACGCAATTTATTTTTTTTAATTTGCTATTTGCTAAGTGGAGTTACCCTTTAAGTCCTGCTAGATCACTTCAGGCCAGCCCCTTTTGCAGGTATAGCTAAACATTAAAAATAGATGTCTATACTGACTCAAATCCAGTAATAGACTGTCTCACCCTGCTCTGCACATGCTCAGTTGCTCTCTATTCTTGGCATTGTGCCTAAAATCAAAGCCACAGAGGCCGATGTGCTGACGACCGAAAGATTTACTGTTGCTCAGGGGCTCTGGGCTTCAACAAAATGGTAGCCTCCAGCAAGAAGAAACAAGAGCAATGCTGGAGGCAATTTACAGGACACACTAATTTTGGTAGCATCATTAATAATGTGGAATGTATATTTCTTGCTCAAGAACATTATTTTTTACCAAGCGTTGGGTAAAGTTTCGCTTTTAGAATTGACATTACCAGGGGCGGACTGACAACTCATGGGGCCCCCGGGCAATAGGGGATCATGGGGCCCCTGTGTCGTTGCCCAAACTCAAAAAAGCCTATGAAAAAGGTACCAGGGACATCTCATGGGGCCCCCCTACTGACCCCGGGCCCTTGGGCAGTGCCTGAGTTTCCAAATGGTCAATCCGCCCCTGGACATTACTACATCAATACAACAGTAAGGCCACATTCACATAAGCTTTGTCAGCAGGCGTCAGACAGGCGTTTGGGAAGCGTTTTTAACGCTTTTCAAATGCCTATGAAAATTCTGCACATGGCAGCACACAGTGCTGTTCACACTGAAGCAAAGCGGAATTCGCACTGAAAACGCTGCAAATTCAGTGTGAACCCAGCCACGTTCACTCACGTCCACTCACGTTCAGGGGCAGACTGACCATTTGGAAACTCAGGCACTGCCCTAGGGCCCGGGGTCAGTAGGGGGGCCCCATGAGATGCCCGTGGTACCTTTTTCATAGGATTTTTTGAGTGTGGGCAAGGACACACAGGGCCCTGCTGTCAAAAAATAAAAGTCAGCAGCTGATGACTTTTAAAAAACAGCCACTTACTTGTCCCTCGGTCCTGTGGTGTGTCCCCTGCAGCCCGTTTCTCCGGCCGTCCTGTATTCCAGGAGGCCGGCATCTTCAGTGTGGGCACCCGGCTGTGACAGCTTGCGGCTTCACAGCCGGGTACCCACTGCGCATGCGCGAGTAGCGCTGAGCTTCATGAATGGTCCTGTAGTCTTCTGGGACCTGTCATGTGTCCCAAAACACTACAGGGAGGGGGGGGAAGACACCTTCCACTTCCAATTGCCTAGGTGATCAGACCTGAAGTGGGAGCGGGTACCTGTCAAATTCGAGTACCGCGCCCCCAAAGGTGCCAATCCTTAATGGGGACCGGGAGAGCAGTCCTTAAAGCGGAACTTCCCCTTTTGGGTGGAGCTCAGCTTTAAGCTCAAAGCTCCAAAAAAACTCAAACTTAAAATATCAATTGTTCTCTATGGTGCCTGTTTGCAGGATCAGGTGTGAACAGGCACCATAGAAAACAATAGATTTTTTTTAATTTGAGCTTTTTTGGAGCTTCAAGCTACCAAACACTGAAGTGTGAATGCAGCCTAAGAATAGGCAAGCTGCAATAAATGAAATGTTGGCTTTTGGTTTTTATACCAATTTGATCCCTCTACGTGCCCTGGTGACCATTGTCACTGAGACAGAAGGGAATAGGAAATCCAAAATGTTGTCACCACAGCAAGAGGTGAAGGAAAATACTGCAATGGGGACATTTGTTCCTGTGACAATTGACTAAAATCAGGTTCACTTTTGAGAGATTTCCTTTCATTTCCTGTTGCATCTCCAGAATGGGAAGTGAAAGAAAATCTCCTCAGGGGACTCAGGCACAACCATTCCACAGTGGCTTAGTGGTTAGCATTTCTGTCTAGAAGCACTAGCATCCCGGCCTGAATCTCAACCAGGACACTACCTGCATGGAGTTTGCATGCCCCTTGCCTGGGTTTCCTCCCACACTCCAGAGACATGCTGGTATGTTCTTTGGCTCCTGTATGTATGCATGTGTGATAGGGACCCCAAACTGGAAGCAGACCCGAGGTGAATGTTAGGGCCATGACAAAAAAAATCACCTATTTCCTTTTTTTTTTAAATAAATGATATTGTTTCTAGAGGGATATGGTGACTGTTGAGTCCATGTTTCTATGTGGCTGCTTTGCTTGTTTTTTCCTGTTCTGTGTTTCAGGTTGCAAACACTTATGCCGTTGCTGGGCAGATTTACCTCAGTTGCTGGGCAGATTTACCTTGGTTGCTAGACAGGATTTACTTCAGTTGCTGGGCAGATTTACATTGGTTACTGGGCAGATTTAAACTGGTTGCTGGGCAGGGTTTACCTCAGTTGCTGGGCAGATGTACCATAATTACTGGTCAGATTTACCTCGGTTGCTGGGCAGATTTACCTCGGTTGCTGAGCAGATTTACATCGGTTGCTGGGCAGATTTACCTAGGTTGCTGGGCAGATTTACCTCGGTTGCTGGACAGATTTACCTCGGTTGCTGGGCAGGGTTTACTTCAGTTGCTGGGCAGATTTACCTCGGTTGCTGGGCAGGGTTTACTTCAGTTGCTGGGCAGATTTACCTCGGTTGCTTGGCAGATTTGCCTCAGTTGCTGGACAGGGTTTACTTTAGTTGCTGGGCAGATGTACCTTGGTTACTGGTTAGATTTACTATGATTACTTGTCAGATTTACTTAGGTTACTGGGAAGATTTACCTTGGTTGCTGGGCACAGTATATCTCAGTTGCTGGCAGGGGTGGACTGACCATTTGAGCACTCGGGCACTGCCCGAGGGCCCGGGGTCAGTAGGGGGCCCTGTGAGATGCCCCTGGTACCTTTCATAGGCTTTGTTGGGTGGCTTGAGTGTGGGTGAGGACACAGGGGCCCCATGATCCCCTATTGCCCGGGGGCTCCATGAGTTGTCAGTCCGCCCTTGGTTGCTGGGCAGATTTACCTTGGTTACTGGGCATATTTACTTCGATTACTGGTCAGATTTAACTCAGATGCTGGGCAGATTTACATCGGTTGCAGGGTGGATTTAAATCGGTTGCTGGGCAGATTTACTTCAGTTATTGGGCAGAGTTTTACCTCAGTTACTGGGCAGTTTTACCTCAGTTGCTGGGCAGATTTCCAGTCAGAGATGAACGCTGGATTGGTGGCAAATCTTTTGGCGGGAAAACAGCGGGCCAATGAGTGTAACCTTTCACCTATATATTCCTTCCTATTGGTGGGCGGAGTCAGCAGTTACCTCAGGACTGCCACCTGGACTCACCTCAGGATTTTCTTCCATCTTCCTTGTGGATCTCTTGACTTTCTCCAATCAGGAATGGATCCCTGCTTCATGACTGACTTCTAAGAGGTAATTCCTCTGGAGGACCTTTTTTTAACTGTAACTAAAGGCAAATTTTTTTTTTTGGGATAGAGTAGAGAGGGAATGAAAACCCCTGTTAGGTTTTCATTGCTGTCTGTGACCCCCGTTAGGGGAATTCACCCTCTCTATATGTTCTGGTGTCTGTTATCACCAAAAGTGAAAGAAAACCCAGAAATGTGGGTTGTCACCAGAACAGAAATAGAGGGGAAATCTTCTGACGGGGGTTCTGGTGACCTCCGGGGATTTCCTCACTTTGGAGAGATTTCCTCTCACTTCCTGTTTTGGCTATGGGACAGGAGGTGAAGGGAAGTCTCCCCAATGGGACACAGAGGGAAAAAAAAGGTTTGCCTTCTACTTTATAATATTCCCCTCAATTTTCACGAATGACACCTTCATTTCCATCTGTGCCTGTATTTTTACCTCGAATGTGAGGTGTCATGGAACCTGAAGTCAGCCAGGGAACTCTTTATTTTCAGCAGGCGGATTGGCATCAGGATCGTCATTGGTATGAAGGGAGGATCAAGGCGATGCAGTACATCATGGTCAATTACGTGTTGTCACATTGCTCTCCTAGGGCCTGCCTGGCACATGCCGGAAATTGAAGGGCTGAACAAAAAGTGCCTGAGCATCGCATCACCTTCAGGACTGGGCGGCCACCAGGACTTGTCAGGGAAAAGAGGAGAGGGACTGCAGAACAGAAGTATCGGCGCACAGAATGAAAGGGGAGGAGCTTCCATGCAGGCCAAGGAGGCACCACTCTCCATCAGATGCCCACAGCACCAGGATTTCTGCCAATGTGAGGGAGACTCCTACCCTGGGCCAACAGCCTGATCAACGCCTCGCTCCAAGAGGACCCTCACCATTATCCTAGGACAGGGGTGAGTACAGGCTTTGAGGGATGGGAATGTAAACAGACTTTACTCTGTCCTGTCTTTAGGCTGCATTCACGCCTGAGCACAGCGGATTTCAACTTTTTGCACACAATTGTTCATGTATCGTGATTTTTTTTAGGCATTTTTTAGCTTTGGTGGGTTTTTCTTTTTAGCCAATAGAGATAGATATCTGTTGCATCATTTTTCTGCTGTTTTTAGATCTTTTCTATCAGCTTTTATTTCTTTATTATTATTATTCATTTATTATTATTTTTTTTTTGTTAGGGTAAGGGGTTAGAATAAAGGTTAGATTAGGGTTAGGATTAGGGGTAAGGGTTTGGGTTAATATTTTATTTATTATTTTCTTCCTATTTATTATTAGGTTAGGATGTTAATAATAATAATAATAATAATAACAATGAATAAATAAATGTAAAATAAATACACAAATAATAAAAATAATCATAAATAAATAGTATGTAATAATAAATAAATAATAGTTAACCCTTACCCTTAACTCTCTAACCCTTAAAAAATGTAATAAAAAAATAATAATAATAAAAATATTTATTATTATGATATGTATTTTTTTGTTCTGGGTTTTGTTTTTATGTATTATTATTTTATTATTAATAATATTATTACTAATATATTTTTATTATAATAATAATTATATTAATAATAAATGAATAAATGCAAAATAAATAAAATCATACATAAATAGTAATAATAAATAAATAATAATTAACCCTTAGCCTTAACTCTCTAACCCTTAAAAATGTAATAAAATAATAATAATCATCGTCATAATAAAAATATTTATTGTGATGATGATGAAGATTATTATATTGTATTTTTTTGTTCGGGGTTGGATGTTTATGTATTATTATTAATATTTATTATTATTATTATTTTATTATTAATAATGTATTTAATAAATTTTTTTTTAGGGTTAGGGGGTTAAGGTCAGGGGGTAAATATTATTTATCTATTTATTATGATTTTGTAATTTATTTAATATTTATTTGTGTATAAAAATGGGAATAAAAACATGCAAATCTGAGCTACAAAAAACCTCCAGAACTCGTTTGAGCTTCAGTTGTTTGGCTTCAGGCAACTTGGAGTGAAGATGTGAACCATCTCCGTTGAGAATAGATTTTTTTCTCCTCAAGCATTTGGAAGCTTTGAGCTACAAAACGCTCAGGTGTGAATGAGGCCTTACTGCCTGCTGTAGTCTCCCTTTGTATCAATAGTTTTTGACCATTTGATCATTGGAACACACAACATCTGACAATTCATCCAGATATAGGCTAGGTTCACACTTGTGCGGTTTGTTGCCGCTGTGGGATGGCACCTGTTCCCACCCTCATAGAAAAACGTGCTGCCCACCAGAAGATGCGTGTGGAAGGATACCATTAATCCTAATGGCACCCTCTGAGCACTGGGAACCACACTGCACATTGCGGTTTTCCCACTGCCGTGATTTCTAGAAAGGTGCAGGGACCTTTTTCTCTGCATTTTCAGTGGATACAGCAGCCCATTGACATGTATGGGATGCTGTGCGCGAGCAACGCAGCCGCAGTGAAATCACACAAGTGTGAACCTAGTTTGACATATGAATTCTTTCAATGCACATGAACACTTTGGCAATATGAAATGTTTATTTATGTATGAGTCATGATTTTGGCACTTTAGAGTTTTGTAATCTTCATTTAAAGAGGCAGCATGCTGTTTTTTTTCTTCTTTGAACATTTTTCAGTTCATATCTTGTATTCAGATATTGGGTGTTTGCCGCTGTCTTCCTAAATATTAAGCATTCAAAGACACAGAGCGCAGGCAGATCACTTAATTAGCCCAGACTTAAAACTGGTAACCTATAAACAGCCCAATTCCTGAAAAATTATTTAAAAAAAAAAAAAAAAAACCCTCAAAAAAGCTAATAATGATAAACTGACCGATGGACCTGTTAGCCACACATTTATAGGCTAAGTTCACTTAAAAAAAAAAAAATGCAGTAAAAATACATGCATTTATTATTTGACTTTCAAAATTTTAATTTCAAAAGACTATTATATTCTATTTTATTCTATTCTATTATAATCTATTCTATTTTATTTTATTCATTTATTCCTTTCTATTTTCATTCTACTCTATTCTTTTGTATTCTATATTCTATTCTTTTCTATTTTTTCCTTTTTTATTCTATCCTATTCTTGTTTCTAGTCTATTCTGTCTATTTTGTTCTGTTTTTTCTCTTTTCTATTCTGCTTTATTTATTCTATTCTATTCGGCAGCCTTAGTCGGAATCATTATCTTATTTCACTTCTATATCTTACTGTATTAATTTCAATATCTTTTCCATCCCAAATTCATATTTTGAAAACTAATCTGAATATATGAAAATGAATTTCGAAAACAAATCATTTTAACATAATAAATACGATGAAACAAAATGATTAACTTATGAATGAATCTGAAATGAAATGAAATACATTTTTCCGCTGTGCACATCTCTAATAACTACACTGTGGGCATGATGTTCCATGTGCCAAGTTTTCTTGTTTCGTATGTGGTCTGGAGAGGTATGAGCCACATGCCATCTTGCTGTGGTCTGGAGCTCAGTTTCCCTAGAGGGATTGGACTCCCAGGAACTGATTCCAGTGAGCGTCAGGGTTTGAGCAACCCAGTGTATGAGCTGTGAGGTGTACCACACTACTTGGGCACCCTGAATTTATAGGACTGGGCTCTCTCATCTTCCTAGCTAGGCTTGGAGATGCCACACGTTGAGATCTGTCCCCCTGTGATATCTGCTGAGACTGTTGTGGAGGAATAGAACCATCCCAAAGTGTGATGGAGTCATCTGAGCCCCTGGAGGCTGAAGCTGCAAAAGTTACTGCAGAACAAATGGTACCAGGGTCTACTGAGTGCTGAGCAGAAAGAGGGGGTTTGTCCAATGTTCCCCCGGCTGTTGACAAGGGCACAGACGGGCTTCAGCCCGAGCTATCATTTGCATCAGAACATCCAATACTGACTCCTGTTGTGTCTCTGGGGTCGCCAGTTTATATGGGTGGGAGACTGGGTCGTGGGTCTTGGGCTTCACCTGTGACTTTCCCTCCATCATGGATGAACTGGAGCTAGGACTGACCAGTGTTTGTCCATTTTCCTGGACCCTCATTTTGTTGTTGCTAACCTGTAAAGTTCGTGAGTACCTTTTCAAATGTTTACTGTTATGTAATGAGTTTTTTCTGTTTGTTTTTTTTTTTTTTTAATTCTATGATACTGTGCCTTGTGGTCAAGTCATCGATAAACTGTTGCCCACAATCTATGCTGTTCCCACAGTTTTGTTTGTAATCTAGTTATGTTTAAGATACACCATGGTCATTTAATGCCATTGAACTCAGGCACTATTGGACCAATCTTAAGTATTTGTGCTGTAACATTATATATTGTGCTTGCAGATATCCAGTACCTTTCCTATGTATGTGGGACGAGGGCATGCCATCCTTTAGAGGGAGGGGAATGTAGGAGTGTGGCAGAGCACTCCCCTGTTTTGCCACTAGGTGACGCCCCTGCATAGAATATATAAAGTTGTGTTTGGTTTTTGGAGGCAAGAAAACAGTCCAGAGAACAGCCTCTGGCTATGCAAGTCTCCATGAGACTGGTTGGAGCCTATTATCCAACTATGTTGCTAAAGTCAGCTTTTGGTATTCCCTGGCTGAA